CCGAGCAGAAGGGCGCGGACGGGGGCCGCCGCCTGCCGTCAGCGCCCCTTTAAGGCCTATGTTCAGGTTTGGCAGGTTTAAAAGGTTTTAAAATGCTTAACCTGGGGTTTTACGAGCCGAGCTGGGTGACGTTTTCGAGGCGCGAGAGGCGCAGACAGAGCCGCCGCGCCCCTCGGCTGCTGACCGAGCGCTTTTAAAGTGTATGTTCTAGGTTTTAAACGTTTAAAGGGTTTAAAATGCTAAATCTAGGTTTTTACGGGCTGGGCTACCGCGTTTCCGAGGGCAGCGGCGCTGCAAAATCAGAACGCCGGAGGGACGCGGACCGGGCCCGAGCGACCACTCGCCTGCTCGCACCACCCTTTAAAGCCTATGTTCTACGTTTTAAACATTTAAGGAGTGTTCAAAATACTCAATCTAGGTTTTTACGAGCCGGGTAGGGTAGGCGTTTTCGAGGGGGCCGGCGCGTAAAACTAGAACGCGAGAGAGCAGGCGGACCAGGAGGAGAGGCGCAGACGGGGGCAGCCGCGCCACTCGGCTGTGGCCCGAGCGCGCTTTAAAGCTTATGTGCTATTTTTTAAGCGTTTAAAATGTTTAAAATGCTTAAAGCTGGGTTTTGCAGTTGGGCTAGGGTTTTCGAGATCGGCGCGTAAAATTAGAGCGCGAGAGACGCCGACGGGGGCCGGCGCCGCGCCGACTTGCCTGCTGACCGAGCGCCTTTAAAGTGTATGTTCTAGGTTTTAAACGTTTAAAGTGGTTTTAAATGCTAAATCTAGATTTCTACGCGCTGGGATGGGAGGTTTTCGAGCCGACGCGCAAAACTAGAGCGCCGGAGAGGCGCAGACCAACCCCCACTCGCCCGGGTGACCGAGCGCCTTTAAAGCTATGGGTTCTAGGTTTTAACCGTTTGATTTTAAATGCTAAATATGGGTTTTATGAGCTGGACTAGGCGTTTTGGAAACCAGGGCGCAAAACTCGAACGCCGGAGGGACGCGGACCGGACCCCACTCGCCTGCTGACCGAACGCCTTTAAAGTGTATGTTCTAGGTTTTAAACGTTTAAATCGATTTTTAATGATAAATCAAGGTTTTTTACGAGCTGGGCTACGCGTTTTCGAGGGGCCGGCATGCAAAACTAGAACGCGAGAGATTCAGACGGGGGCCGCCGCGCCCCTTTAAAGCCGAGATTCTGGTTTTAAAAATCTAAGGGTCTAAAATGCTAAATCTAAGTTTTCCGAGCCGCGTATATGAGTTTTGGAGGGGCCGGCGCGCAAAGCCAGTGCGCGAGCGGGCAGGGGACCGGGGAGAGGCGCAGACAGGGGCCGCCGACCCACTCGCCTGCTGACCGAGCGCCTTTAAAGTGTATAGTCTAGGTTTTTCAACGTTTAAAACGATTTTAAATGCTAAATATAGGTTTTACGAGCTGGACCAGGCGTTTTCGAGCCCGCCGCGCAAAACTAGAGCGCGAGAGACGCTGACGGGGACCCCGCGCCCACTTGCCTGCTGACACCGCCCCTTTAAAGCTGAATTTTGGGTTTTAAATGCTAAATATAGGTAGGAATCTAGGGGACAGGTTTTCCCAGCCTTAAACCAGCCCTACGAGAAAATTAGCCCCGAAAAAGTGCTTTTAAACCCCAAAAACCCCAAAAATACCGTCCTCGACGCTTGGCTCCCCTCGAAATCGGGTCGTTGATGCGCTTCACCGGCGGCGGCGGGCCTAAAAAGTCGTTAGAAAGTGAATACCATTACCATTCATTCACTGGTTCACCGAATATATTAGAACTTACAGCAAATACGCGAATTTTCGCGGAAGAAATCTGCGAAATTCGTTTTCAGGCCAGCGGGCGGCGCGGGGTACGGTAGCCCGGTGCTTTTCGTAGCCGGGGCGCGGAATAGCGAATGCGTGCGCATTAATGGACACAGACGATCAAGAAGAGCTGGCGAAGCCGTGAAAATTTGAAAAATCTAAATACACCTCAAAAAAATGGCCGGGTTTTGTGGGATTTTTCCAGATATAGGTAGTAATTGGGCTCTTTTGCATTATCGGGGGAGGGCAGCGTTTTTCTATCGTCCAGAAATGCCTTCTCGCATATTAGAAAGTGCTTTAAGAGTCTCTTTAGTAAAATTTAACGATTATATAGGTCGAAAATCGACAACAAACACGTTAGAAAAACGTTTTTAGGCCAGATGTTGGTCGAACTTTTCAAACTTTCTAGGGGGCGAAAGAACCGATTTCAGCCTTTTTTAAAGCGTTGAAGCGGGGGTTTCGCACAACTTTTGAAGCTGTTCAAGCTTTTGGACTTTTTATAAACTCAAAAAACTTATTTTAGGTTGATCTGCGCCTGTTTTTGGATTTTTTGAAGCCGACGAGCTGCTCGACACGTTCAAAAGCGTTTTTAACTTTTATTTCGTTTACGTTTCTTTTAACTTTTAAATTTTGGTCCTTTTTTGCGAGGCGCCCTGCCACCGAGCACTTCCACCGGCACGGCGACGATGGCAGAAGGACGACCGGCTGCAGATGGTGGTCATCATCTTCTTCTTCATCGGCATTTTGGGCGATCGGGTTTAAAAGTAGTTTTTCTTCCCATATTTTTTTCGTTTGCAGGGGCCCTCGTGCTGATCGTGTTTATCTACGACCTCCTCAACGACGCAGAGCCGTTCACCAGTGCTGTGCTCGGTCTTTCTGCAGGTTTTCAGGCCGTTAATGATTTCTGGGTTCTTTCGCATTATCGGGGGAGGGGCAAGGTTTTCTTTGCATTTAATTTTTGAAATATAAATTGTGTGTTTCTAGCTGTTTTTTACTAACCTTAAACGTAAAAACTTGACAAATTTTTGATTAAAAATAGACTTTTGCAGCTTTTTAAACGTTTTAGGCGAGTTTTTTCAGTTGAATGGTAGCTTTATTTTACTGAAAACTCTGCCAAAAAAATACTTCCTATTTCTATACTTTCTAGACATTTCTAAACTCGTACAAAAAAGTTGGGCCCTCCCCCCGATAATGCGAAAGAACCGAGGGTTTCAAAACACTCAACCCTGGGGTTTCGCCCGACTTTTCCGAGCAGTTCAATCTTGGGACGTTTTTAAAAACTGAAAAAGCATTTTAGGTTGTTCTGCGCACGTTTTTTCAGTATTACCAGCGGATGAGTTACTCAAAACGTTCAAAACCGGCCTTTTGAACATTTTTTCGAGTTTTTACCCTTTTTCGCAATTTTTCGAAACTGTTTAGAAAAAATTTCCGAAAAAATGCTATATTTCTTGTTTTTTTCGACTTTTTGAGAGCTTTATATGCCACATTTTTCTGCGATTTCTTGTAGCTGTAGGTGAACATCAAATCGTTTATTCCGCGGGGCCCGTTAACATTAAAAAGACGCCAATCACAACAGGCAGGGGGAAGGCCAAAAACGGGAAAACACGAGAGCAATGTATTTGGTATCAATCGATTGGCGGCCAGGCGAGGAGGAGCGGTAGCTGAACATGTAGACGACGTGGGCGCCGACGCGCTGAGCGTGTAGATGAACATCTGAAAAAAAACTAAAAACTCAAAAATTCTGAAAATTAATTTTTTACGCGAAAAATAACTTTTTGAACAAGTTGGCCGACTTTTAACGTTTGCATTTTGTAGCCTGACTGCCAGTTCAGCCATCGACACCAAAATTAGGCGAATTTCAAAAAGAAAAAGTTAGCCGCGGCCGAGAGTCGAACCCGGGTCATTGACCTGGTAGTTTTTGTAGTTTGTAGCGTTGTCGGAAAGGTTTTAGTCTCTAGACTGGATCCCAGTTTAGCGATTCTGATTAAAGCTGCCTGGGGCAAGAAAGTAGTACGAAAATTCAAAAAAATTCGTTTTTTTTCGGGCCTTTTGCGCCTTTCTATTACGAAACTGAGCCTAGCTAGGCCCAAAACAAGGGTTGTAGTTTGTAGTCTGGCCGCCGGTTTGGAGATTTCATTTAAAACATCAGGTTTAACAAAAATGATAACCGGAAATAAGGAAATTTATTTAAAAAATAGATGTTTCATTCGAAAGCCTGATAAAATCGTTGTTTTGACTTGCAATACGTGTGTTTTTTACATTGAAATAAACGACGGGATAATTAGCAGAGAAATTCTTAAATTTTAAAGATACCTTTCAACGCTTTAAAAAGGACGTTGTCGCGACGATTCATTTTTTCACTTGGTAGGGCTAGCAGAGATTGTCTAGGAAATGGGGGAGGCGTGTCGAAGCTTACGAAGCTTAGCCATCGAATATCTGTCTTTAGTGCATTTTAACTATATCCCAGGCATCTTAAGCTCCAAAAAAGGTCAGAAAAATGGTAGAAAAAGTAAAAGTCTAGGTAAAATTAAATGTTTAACGTGATGTTTGTAACGTTTTATGCCCATGAATTGCTAAAATAATCTAGTAGAGAAATTTTATATCTTTTAGATAGATTTTATAAAAAGTTTTTTCAAAACACTTAAGAGAGCTGGGAATTGATACTTTTCCATTTATTTCCTTTTCTATGATTTCGCCCCATTCATCAAAATTTTAATAGTTAAAAGATAATTATGTTTCAAATAATTATAAAAATCGGAGAAAAAACATTTTTGGCAATTGGTAGTTGTTTGGATTTTCGTGATATTGTTCTGGTTTTAACGAGGTCCGAACAAAATTCTATAAACGTCGTTCCTGGCTATAAAATCTTTTGAGAATTGGGGGTTGTTATGTAGAAAAAAGTTTGGCATCAATTCTGATGGTTGATACGTGATGTTTTACTCAACAAACTGTTCTATTAATTGCCACGGTCTATATTGTAAAAATCCCTCGCACCTTAATGTGCCATTTCAAATTTATTTAAATTCATAACCGTTTATTTGTGCAGTCGCTTTCTGTCTGTACACGGTACATACTAAACACATAAACATACTGCATATTTATTTGAGGAAGGAACAGGTTTTCTCGACAATTTGGCGGATTTTTGAAAAATTATGTTTCAAAAAATTTCAAAAACCACAAAATTAATTTTACAGTTAATTAACTTTTTCCTTTGTGTCGATTTTCGGGCTAATTTTCGGTTTAACGAGGACCGAATTGGGGTGCGTATTGTCAGGATTATTCGGGTAAAAAGCGGCGGAGAAGCCGGTGCCGGTGTACAGGAAATCCGACGAGAAGGCCAGGTACATCTTGCTGCCGGTGGAGGTGAAGTAGATCGGCGTCGCCGGCGAGTCGTGCAAACTGGAAAACATCATACAATATTGCAGATATTTCAAACAATTTTTATTTTGTAGTAAAAATCTGGTTAGCTTTAAGCTATCTAATTGGGTGTAATTTGTTCATTGTTCGTCGTTTTTTTGTAATCAGCACTTTTTTGGCACTTTATTTCCCCTGCTAAATGTTAAAGTGTTTTGGAAAGCGTTTAAATGGTTTTGTTTCTATTTAAAGGGGTTAGGAAGTCTGGGTCAGCCCCTCTGCGTTGATTCCTGGCAAATAGCCAGACGCAACGCAACGCGGCCGCGCCGCACGATTTTCCCTGTTTAGACGCACAAAGGCCTGAATTCCAAGGTTCTTACGCTATTTTTTAATGACGAAAATTGATCAGAGACCCGCCGAGTTCGAGAGATTCGAGCATTTCGACATTTATTTCGAATATTTCGTCTTTTCCGCAACAAAATCAATTTGTTGGTACTTTTAAGTAGTTGCTCTTTAATTTTTTGCGTAAAATCGTTTTTTTTGCGTCGGTTAGCAGAGGTCATTTGGTAATCGGAGTAAGTGGGGGGATGGTTAATTAGCATGTAAATACAATGTTTCGGCCGTAACCTGCCCTCAGCTTCGATGCCTTATTTTATTCAAAGACCGATAATGGCTTGCAATAAGTTCTTAATTAATCCTGGTATTATTATTTAAATGTATCAAACCCACTCAGCCAGCAGATTTCCCTGATCATCGGCCCCGTCGTAGACCCTCAAATAATCGTAGTGTTCAGTTTCGAACGCGTCGAACACCAGTTGCATCTAAAACACATTTTCATAAAAATTTGAAGTTTCATGTTTTTATCGATTGGACCTGAATTTTGAAATAATAATTTTCCTGTTCCCTTTACATTAAAATCGACAAAAAATTTGTTTCATTTATTTTTCTTTGAAAAATGTGCTGTAAATTTACTAATCCACGAGTCAGTTGGCTCCTAAAAATTCACCGCAAATCACCTCTGCTAGCCTGCCTGGGTAAAACAGATTTTAAGGCAGAATTTTTGATGCGTTTTTCTAAAAAAAGTGTTCGAACGATGTGCCTTGGTGAGCCGCTGCATTATTCAAATCGTTAGCGCGTTATTTAATTGTAAAATCACTAAACTAGTTCCACAAAGCGGCTAGCTTGCCCCGATCTCTCTAAGGTACTGCTTTTTGCCGCTTTTGGGGCGTTTTTTACATAAAAAAATGTTTCAATGACTCTGCTTCTCAAATTTCTATCCTTCTCATTAATATCGTTACCATTTCCCTTTTCCTTTAATTGACAATGCGAATATTTTTCATAAAGAGTTCTGCTAGCTTGCCCCGGTTTCACTCTAGAATAGTTTTAGCGTTTTAGTGCTTTTCGAAAAAAAATGTTGCACCAAGTTTCCCTGGCACGGTGCTGTCGATAACGTTAATTCTCCCCTTGACTCACGAAGAAATAATAGTGTTTTTCCACAAAGCGCCTTTGCTAGCCTGCCTGGGCATTGGGTTCAGTAAGCAAAATGTATAGAAACGTTTTCTACTGGCGTAGAAATGATTCTCCGAGAAAATGTTGCAGCAATTTGCCCTTCGAATATTCGTTGTCCATCTCGTTATTCCGTTCAATCTCGCATTTGCAATAATCAAAAAATACGAATTTTTTCCACAAAGCGCCTCTGCTAGCTTGCCCTGGTTTCACTATGTATAGAGAAAATTTTTAGCGCAGCGTTTTGGAGACGTTTGAGTGTTTTTCGACAAAATGTTGCAACGATTTGCCCTGTCGATATAATTTATTCACCTTTGATCGATTTAGAAATGATACTATTTTTCCACAAAGCGCCATTGCTAGCCTGCCTTAGCACTGGATTGGATTCACTAAAAAATAGTGTTTTTTAGAAAAATTTTGTTATTGGCACGGAAAAAATTTTTTCGCGAAAATGTTTCAAACAATTGCCGTAACAAATTGTGTTTTAGATCAATAATACGATGTGTGCTTTCAATATTTAAAAAGCACATATTAATTCACATAAAGGCTTGCCTTAATTTCACTCTACAACAGTTTCTTATCGCAGCAATTTTTAGAGATTTTTGAACGTTTTTTGGTGAAATTGTTTTGATCAGTTGTCCTTTTAAATGGTCGTCTGTCACATTAATACCGCAAGCTCTTTCCACGACTACAAAAATAAGAATCTTTTTAAAAAAGCGCCTTTACTAGCCTGCATCAAGATTGGACTCATTAAGAAAAATAGTTTTTTTTATATCAGGTTGGAAGGTAAGTCCTGTCGCCGAGATTTTGAAAGGCTGGCTAAAATCGTAGTTAGCTCCATTCTGCACATGCGATATGTCATTTTGTAGCTCTCTGCCTGAGCCGTTTCGGGAGGAGGGTCCTAGCCCGCCAAAATCCAGGAGGACCGAGATACGGGCCCAAGAGTTTTGGAAAAATTGGGCAAAAGTGTTTTTGCAAGTTATCTCTGCATAGAGTGATTTGCATACGATACCTTTAACGCCAATCGATAGCCCTTGAGGAGTAGATATCGATAGATCTTGAGATCATCAAAATCGGACACTGAACGGCCGAGATATGAACTTTTGAAATTTGGACCATTGCTTATAACTTTTCTCAAAATCCCATACATTTCGCTGGATTTGACCGGCAGGTGCCGAAAATTGCCGCTTTATTTTTGGACGCGCCGAGCGGCTTTTGACCAAATGTATGGGATTTTGAGAAAAGTTCTAACAAGGAGTGCTTTTTTTGAGTCATCGGCAAAACCTTACGTGACCTAGCTTATTCGATAGAGAATTCGATTCCTGAACAAAACCCCGTTGTTCGTTTTTGCAGAATGGCTATCCCTGATTTTATAACATTTTAAAACTGCGCCCAAAAGCCTCTCTTATGGCTCGAAATGTACTCATGGTAAGAGACGGTCACTAGTATTTTAATTTTATAAAATCAGGGATAGCCATTCTGCAAAAAGAACAACGGGATTTTGTTCAGAATCGAATTCTATCGAATGAACTAGGTCTCGTAAGGTTTTGCAGATGACTCAAAAAGCACTCCTTAAGAAATGGTCCAAGTTTCAAAGGTTCATATCTCGGCCGTTCAGTGTCCGATTTTGATGATCTCAAGATCTATCGATATCTACTCCTCAAAGGCTATCGATTGGCGTTAAAGGTATCGTATGCAAATCACTCTATGCAGAGATAACTTGCAAAAACACTTTTGCCCAATTTTTCCAAAAACTTCTTGGGCCCGTATCTCGGTCCTCCTGGATTTTGGCGGGCTAGGACCCTCCTCCCGAAACGGCTCAGGCAGAGAGCTACAAAATGACATATCGCATGTGCAGAATGGAGCTAACTACGATTTTAGCCAGCCTTTCCAAATCTCGGCGACAGGACTTACCTTCCAACCTGATAGAAACGTTTTCTTGGTATAGAAATGTTTTTCCGAGTAAATGTTTCAAAGACTCGCGCGTAGCAATCGTTGGCCATCTCATTAATATACGTTCGTCTTCGGACGTTTCGTCACAGAAAACCACAATAAAAATAAATCCCCCTCGATAACACGAAAGCTCCCAAAACCCCGCAAGTTATTTGTTTATTTATCCGGAGTGTTGCCAACTATTTGTTTCAAAGTTCTGCCCTGACAAATAGCCGGCGCGTTTTTAATCAGCCGCGAAATTTTGAATCGAAATTCAGCTGATCCCCCTGGCCCAAACAATAAAAAATTATACGAATAAATAATAAAATTAGTAAATTAATTAATAATACTACTAATAGCAATAAAATAATTTTTTATTTATAGGTGTCCTTAAAAACCTACCGTTTGGCCTGCCGGCACCTCCAAATAGTAGTTGCAGTCGAGATTCGTCGTGTAATTTTGGGGCCAATTCGGCGAGGTGATGCCCTGAAAATGGATTACGGTAATCCAGGTGTAATTTAGATAAAGAATTCAATTTTCAGCAAGCTTTTACTATTTTTGGTACGTCAAATTAGCCTATGTCGGCAACTACCCAGTAACGCAACCGGCCATCGCCGAACTCTAGAACTTTTCGAAACTTTTTTTAGACATGTGGGGAAACTTGGTACTGGGGGTGTTAGCGGGGGGGTGGGCATTTTACGGCCCTAGAAATAAATCTAAATTCGTTTTATATTTTCGACATAAAACATAGATTTAAAAACATCAAAAATTTTTGACTTCAGTTATTTATGAAATGTTTAAAAATCGTAAAAATTGCCAAAAACATTCTCAACCGTTTAAAAATGTGCCTAGCGAGCAAAAAAATAATAAAATATTTGTAGATAATGTATGATTTATTTTATAAAAAAATAAAATACGTTAAGTTTTACAACAACCCGGCTCAATCTATTAAAATAAATTCTTTCCGTTAGTGTCCATAACTTTTTGAAACTTAGTTTTTTATTTGTAACAAAATTAACAACGGTTGAGACTTGGATTCTAATGAATTCGGCCTAAGTATTAATAAAAAAATTTGTGTAATAAATAGCTATTTAATAAATTATCTAAATAAATACAACCTCAAATTTGTCGGCTGTGAAATGGGACTTGCCGCAGCCGTTGTCGGTGCCCGGTGTTGTTCCCACTAAAATGTAGTCAATTACAATATATTTTGATGTTACATTACCAATAAATAAAATATAGAATACATAACACAATAAGGCCCGGCCCCAAAAACGCGAAATTCCAAAATTCCCCCGCGGTCGAAAAAATTGGTTTCAGTTTGATTCGTACGCCTTCCGGTTCCTTTTGCCGTAATAAGAAAAGATGTAATTGAAATTTACTGTTTTTATTTCCCTACTCCTAAAACTAATCAATTTAAACCCTCGGAAACAGAAAATTTTAAAAAGGCAAAAGCAAAAGAATAAAACTGTTTCAAAATGTTTTTAGTGTTTAGCGCATATCAGTAATTCAGTCGACAAGGACGATAACCGAAATTTTTATAGAAATAAATAAATGAAAACAATGAATGATTTATGATTTGGTTGATTCCAGAATTCAGAAGTTTTTTTTAAGGAAATGGGTTTCATTTTCGTTTCATAAAAAAAATACGTCCTTAGCTCCATAATTCAGAGTTCTATGTAGGTCACCTTGAGAATATTTATATACTTTCGCCTGCTTTGGTAAATCAACCTGGAGCATCCACTTGGAATTTTTAAAAACCATCGCATCTCAAAAAATTTAAATACACATAAAAACAAAAATGTTTCAAATTATTTTAGGTAACGGCGCACGGAATTTCGATTAATTCTTGCGAGAAACGCATTCGTTATTCCGTGAAAAAATCAAATTTTCAAATCGATCTTTCAGGATTTAAATAAATTCCTAAATTGTGTTTGCAACGTACCCTCAAAAGTCTCGTATCTTCCCAAGAATCCGCGATCGACGTTGATGATGTCCGTCTCGAAATCCATGTAAATACTCGGGCCGGATGAGGTGATTACCGTACCCGTTTTTGAGCCGCTCAGACTAAAAAACTTTTCGGTTTAAATTTTCTGGGTTAAAATGGGCAAGGCAGGCTAGCAGAGATTTTTTTAGAAAAGTTTTATCGACGAAATCTTTACGAATATGGAAAGGCAAGCTAGCAGAGATTTTTTAGGAAATTTGCGCTGGAGGGGAGCTAGCAGATATCATTTAGGAGATATAAAGGACAAGCTAGCAACGTTTATTCGTGAATTTTAAAAAATCTGAGCGTGGCGAGCTAGCAAAGAGCTTTGAGGAAGGCCCAGAGGGGATAAGGCAAGCTAGTAGTGATTCTTTGATAAAGTGTCTGGTGTAAAGGCAAGGCGGCAGAGATCCTTTGTGGAAAACTGCTCGAGGCAAGCTAGCAGAAACTTTTCAGGAAATTCACCGAGGAGGTGAGCTAGCAGAGACCATTTAGGAGCCAAATGGAAGGCGCGCGCAGGCAGGCAGCAGCGCTTTTTCAGGAAATTTAAAAAGAACGAGAAAAAGCCGGCAGGCTAGCAGAGATTATTAGAAACAAATGAAACAGCAAAAAAATCGGCGAAGATCATTCTGAAGAAAAGCGATATGCCAATGGTAAAAATAAATGCGACTCTACCAATTTAGAATGAGAAACATACAAGTTTTCAACTTAATTAGCACGTTGATTAGGACTCACTCAGCCAATACCGTATACGACGAGTCGGGTCCGTCATATATCCTCAGCCGATCCACCGCGTTTTCCGTGTGAAATGACAAAAATGTCAATCGGATATAGTGGCCGGCGTTTACCTGGAAAAAAGAATGTTTTACTGGAATTCGTTGTCGTGTGTCCGGCTATAATGTCAATCATTCGTTTTTAGTTCTCTAAAAAAATTAGAAACCCGCGGTTCTTGACCATTATCGGGGGGGGATAAATCAATTTTGTTCCTTTTATATCGGATCTTCCTAAAATAGGCGTAAAGCAATAAAAATTTGTACTAAAATACAAAATAAAGATTTTTTCGATAAGAAATAGTAAATGTGGACAAAGCTTGGAATTAAAAAGTTAAGTAATTAAATGAAAACTGCGATGTTTGCTATGGTTTTATCACTTTAAATATCGTTAAAGTTATTAAAAAAATGTTTCTCAGAAAATTAGGCCTTCCAGTTGTCAATTTATGTTAATGCATAGCATAAAGTCCTCGCTTTAACCAACTTTTTTCAGGCCTTTTTCGAAGGGTCGTTGAATAACTTGATTCATTAAAAATACTCATATAAATAGAGACTTTTATAACTTCATTAATACTTATTTTTCTGCTTTTTGTCGTTTTCTGATTTTCATACTGATTTTTAATGGCCCTGTAATGACCGTAATCAAGTTAAGCATTAAATTATAGGTAAAACACGCCTCACAAAAAAAAAATTATCAAACCTTTAGCCCAATAAAATTAGTAATATAGAAATATGCCTTAGTACGTGTTTATATTAATCTAAAAGAGCGATTTATTACAAACCCGCAGCTTTAAGACACTCTTCCACAAAAAAACTTGTTTCATAAAATAAACGTTATGCCGGATCATATTTTTCTGAACTGGGCATTGAATTGGCGCGCAAGTCTCTGCTTACTTTCGAGCTCAATTTTCGCGCGGAAATCGGAGCTTTTTTGCTGTGTCCTATATACCATTAGAAAGCACATTTTTGGCGCTATAAGGCTCCAATAGCCGCTTATTTTATAGGCGTTACTTTCGCATGGATTTCGGGGAACGAATTATCGTCGAAAATGACCTTCGAAGGCTCGACGACCGCACCATGCAAAATTTTCCGTACCATAATTATCAAATTCAATTTGATCGATTTTGTACTTACCCAGTAGGACTACAGCTTGATGCCAAAGATTAACAGGTTTATGGATTCGTCTACGCTAAACCCGGGCTCAAATTATCGCACCAGACAGTGGGCTCCTTGGTTGATGTTTTTTTCCATGAAAATGTCAAGATAGCTCTGTTTGATTTTGAACGTTATAGCTTCTTTTAAATAGACAGAAAAGTCCGGCACGAGCTGGGGATGTGCTAAATAATCGTTTTTAACGCAGGAATTAGCAAGCGAAGGAAGGGCGCATTTTGGTCAATTTTTCGATCTGCTAAAAATTACTGAAAGGCTATTTAAAAAATAAACTAATTACATGAAAAGGTAGTGGAATAAAAACTCTTTCGAAGCCCAATAAGTCAACTGTAAAAATAATTAGCGATCATGCTCAAAATCGAGCTCAAAGGAAAGCGACGATTTTCATTCTAACCGATTGATTTCGAGCAATGTAAATGTAGAAAATAAACTAAAGCCAGTGTCTGATAGAAAAAAAGAATGCTCTTTCGAGTGATGTATAACACTTGCTCCAAAGTCCACGACTCGGACAAGCAGCAAGCTTTGAAAAAAGCGCAGAGACTTACGTTCCAACCCAATAGCAACTTAGAAAGAAAAATTTTAAATGTTTGAAAGGTTTTAAATGTAAGATTGTAAAAGGCTTTACAGTGGTTTATAATTTGTTGACAGGACGAAATGTTGCAATTAATGGGCTAATTAAGGATCTTGTTAACCGATTAGGATACCCTTAATTCGCCATAATCTATCCATTAAAATCGTCAGCTTTCTACCCCCAATTTTGCAGCAAAAAAAGTGTTTCAGAAAAACAGCACCTTTCCGGGTTATATTTTTCCTAACTGTCTGCATTTTGTCTCCCTGTTCATTGTTTTTGCCCTTCCTTACCGGACACAGTAATATTTCCGGGCATTCCGGAATTCCTGTTTTTTTTCTTCAAAATTCCGGAGCTATCAGCCGGACGGACGGCCGGCGGTTGGCCACATAAATAATTTTATGGGTGCTGGGGGGTCAGCCGATTTCTCAGCCGGAATTCCCGGCTTCCGAACAATTAATCGAGCCGTTTTTTGGGTATGTACATAAAAGCTAATTTTAGCATAGATACAAACGCCAAAATCCATTCAAATTAGTAAAAATAATACTTAAGTAATACCATAAATAAATATGCAGTAGAAAAATAATAACCAAATAAGTATTGGTATCTAAGTGTTAAATTCCGGTGTTTCAGCACCATTCGTGAGTTCGTGAAAAATATTAAAAACTAATGGTATGGTAGAAAAATATGATATTTTAAATATTTTAAATCTTTAATATTATAAATTCATGTAAATTAGCAAAAATGATAGATAAATAATACCCATAAAAGCCATACTATAAACAAATAAATAACCAAATAGATATTGGTTTTTGAGCGTAAAGTTACGATGTTTCAGGATTATTTGTGGGTTCGTGAAAAATCTTGGCAACTAGTGAAGAAATTCGAGTATAAAAATAAAAAAATCTAAAAAAGAGCGTGCTTCAAAATATAAAAAAGATAAAGTTTCAGCCTTATTGTTGGCTATCTAAACACACTTTAAAAAATGTAATGTTTGTAGAAATAAGGGTTTCGAATGGTGTAAATCATATAAAAAAATTTTGAGGCGCTTTTTTGGGTTTCGTGAATCTAAATATGAGTGAAAACAATCCAAGAAAAAGCGCCATGAATTAAAAAAAGCTTAAAAATCAATAAATTGTAAGCCGATATGGCCGTCACGCTGAAAAATGAAATGTTTCAAAAAATTTTCGAGTTCGAGAAAGCTTCCAAAAAACAGTACTACCCCGATGCAACCTCCTGCTATGCTTTATATAATTTAAGCTCATGCTAGGCAAAACTCTAATTGTAGCTTCAATAATACCGAAAATTTCGTAATTTTGATATTACAATCATAAATTAATACGGAACGCATAACCTTCAAAATGTAAAATTACGGTGTTGCAGCATTTTGTATGGTGAGCGGAAAGCTTATAAAGCTAATCGGCGTGCTAATGTTTTTTCGGGCTCATAGCATACCAATTTTGGGATCTCTAATATTAAAAAAAGATTATTTAATGATAAAGAAAAAATCACGTCGAGAAATCTCGAGACTGGGTTTTTGCTCGATTTATAACTAATAAATAAAACCTTTTAGGAGCTACTTTAGTGAGTCGGAACCTAATGGAATTAAAATTCTCTCCGGTAAAAGTTCCATGATGACAGCATATTGATTTACCAGCCGATTACAGCCGCTTCGCGACTGCAATCGGCTGGACTTCGGGCCACCCTCCATATTCTACACCACCACATTTAATCCCTACCTTACGCTGATGCCTTCATGGCAATAACTACACTGATGGCTTCAGATACCTCCTCTAGCCAACCCCCCACAAAAACATAGCTACCTTCCCGATGGCTTCAGATACCCCTCCGGGTCGAAATTCCGTTAAAAATCTACCAAAATACCTCCCTGATGGCTTCAGATACCCCCCATGGCTGAAATCCCCTTCAAAAACTACTTAGATACCTCCCTGATGGCTTCAGATATCCCCCATGGCTGAAATCCCCTTCAAAAACTACCTAAATCCCTTCCCGATGGCTTCAGATACCCCCCATGGCTGAAATCCCCTTCAAAAACTACCTAAATACCTTCCTGATGGCTTCAGATACCCCCCATGGCTGAAATCCCCTTCAAAAACTACCTAAATACCTTCCTGATGGCTTCAGATACCCCCCATGGCTGAAATCCCCTTCAAAAACTACCTAGATACCTCCCTGATGGCTTCAGATATCCCCCATGGCTGAAATCCCCTTCAAAAACTACCTAAATCCCTTCCCGATGGCTTCAGATACCCCCATGGCTGAAATCCCCTTCAAAAACTACCTAAATACCTTCCCGATGGCTTCAGATACCCCCCATGGCTGAAATCCCTTCAAAAACTACCTAAATACCTTCCCGATGGCTTCAGATACCCCCCATGGCTGAAATCCCCTTCAAAAACTACCTAAATACCTTCCTGATGGCTTCAGATACCCCCCATGGCTGAAATCCCCTTCAAAAACTACCTAAATACCTCCCTGATGGCTTCAGATACCCCCCATGGCTGAAATCCCCTTCAAAAACTACCTAAATCCCTTCCCCGATGGCTTCAGATACCCCCCATGGCTGAAATCCCCTTCAAAAACTACCTAAATCCCTTCCCGATGGCTTCAGATACTTTAAATAATTTAAATAATTAATTAACATAATTAAAAAGTATTAAAAGTATTAAAGTAACTCAAAAAGGCATCTGGGCGCGCGAAGGGGCCTGGGGAAGAGGGGCGAAGAGAAAGGGGGCGTGGCCTCCCGGGGAGAGGGGCCCCCACTCGTTTTATTAAGGCGCCACTTTCAAAGTTAATTTTAATAATTTAAACAAAAACTTTTTCGTAATTTTTTTATCAGTTTGGGGGTTTCTGACGGCGCTCTATCCGAATCCGAAGAGAGCTAAGCTCTAGCTCCTTTCCCCTTCGAGTTGAATTCGGCTTCACACAGACAGACAGACGGAGACCACAGCAAAATTATTATAGTTGATTGGTTCGTGAAGCTGTGGCCAAGGTAAGAAGAAATTATTTTTTGCTAAAATGTGATGTTTCGCGGATATTTTGAGTGTGCGAATACTTGAAAAATCTAATGTCCTGTGATTTTGATTCTTTGATTTAGTTAAATTTGAACCTTGAGGTATCAGTTTCTATATATTCTAACAATGTTAAAGTTTAAATTCAATTAAATTGAAACTGACCGTATAATTGTAGTAGACGCTTTCGCTATTTCCGTATTGACCGGGGAAACCGGGTGACGAAAACAGGACGCTCTCCTCGGCCTCGTCCAGCACATTTTTGCCCGGAATAATTGAACGCGCGCAGATAAGTCCGAATAATAGAAGGAAGATGAATACCCGCATTGACAACTGCAAAAATTTTAATGTATTAAAGAAAATCTATAAACACGAATTTTGTGAAAAAATATGATTCAATGAAAAAATTACGTAAAAAATCTGTGGCCACGATAATGGTTTGTTGGTAGTCCCTGATGCGCAGAAGTTGTTGGGCTCGAAACAAAAGCAGCAAAATTCCGAAAAGCAAAACAGCCCGCATCGAAGACTGCCAACAATTTTTTCCTTTTTTCCAAGGATCGAGTTTTTCCAAGATAAATGGGGGGAAGTCCTTCCAAACAGTTTTCTGGTTCTTTAGGATTCGCGGGGGGAAGTATTCCCGGGGGAAACCAAATTTTTTTCGGCACAAGCCTAGATTTTTTTATTAATTGCGGATGCGTTTCTAAATTGTTTTAACTATTCCTGAGCATAAAAACTACACACATTTTAACCAAAAAAAGACCTATAGAACGAACTATAGATCGAACGATCCTATAGAACCTTTAGGATTAGCGGGGGAAGACCCAAAATGACCAAATTTTCGACTTTTTCAAAAATTTTTCTGAAAGTTTTTCTACTTTAAATATAGTTAAAACTTACTAAAAACAATTCGAAAACACTTTATATTTGAAGACTAAGTCAACCGGGACCAACAGGAAAAAAATTGGTCCCCCCCGGAATCCTAAAGAACCAGTTTTCTTTTCTCGTAAAAGTTTTACTAATTTTCCTTTAAAAAAAATTGAATACCCACCTTATCAAAATACCCACTATCAGATTGCTATGCATTTCTGGACTCCTAGGAAAAATTCAATCCCTCCAGGATAATGGCAAAGAACCTGGCTTTAAGGCAACTAAAGGAGACATTTTTATTTTGCGGCGATTTTGATCTAATCTCACATTTCCGAATTCTGCCCCCGCTCCCCTCGATAGTGGAAAAACATGGTTTTTAATTACAGCAAGGATTGTCCATAATGAAAAAAATGTGTTTTATTAAAAAGTCAAGAGTCAAAAAAAATGTCAGCGGCAATTTTACGTCTTTCAGCCGGCGAATAAATTTACTGGATTTAAAATGAGGGTTACGCTACCGTACCCATAAATTCCAAATGGCCGGGGGTAAAACTCCACGAAATGACTCGATAAAAAATTGCTCCCTCCCCCCGGTTTCCCAATCCGGAGAGTGTGGGGGGCCGATTTTGGGTTGTGGGGTGGCGATAAGGAATGGAATGCCCCCAGCCACCTCGAAATATTTATTTTTCCACAGGAACTCGCAGCAGAGAGAGGGGGGCGGGGTGTTTGTACAGCCCCCTCCTATTATTTTAGCCTAATCAAGCTGACCCCAAAAATTTTTAAGGTGGGGGGGCGAAAAATAAGTTTTTAAGCGGCTTCACGGCTTTTTGGTGGTATTTGCCCAGGCTGCCTAGGAATTTCGGATAGAACACTTTTTTATGGGTGGACTTTGGCTGGCGGCTCGATTTTTGGGGCGCTGTTCTCTTAGCGGGGGTGATATTTTTCCGATTAATCCCGGACGATCCTATAACAAAATACATACAATTTTTATAACATTTAACACAATTCTTAGACATCAAAAAACCCAAAAAAGCAAAAATATTGTGCAATTTTATGCCACGTATGAAAATGCACCAAAAAAAGTCAAAACTCCATCATTTTTGATGAACAGGTAAACGACGAAATAAGATTCGTGCCCCCCGCTAAACGACAAGAACCAACTGGACTATTGCGGTATTCAGTGGAACACCTTTTTCTGCGGCAGGACTTGACTAGCTCGTTTTTAGCCTGAAAAATTGAAAAATTGGAGCGGCTGATAAGGGATTTTACTAACTTTTACGGATTTTTCGTCATTAGGACTCTGGGTGAAACATCGATTTTAAAGACTGGACCGAGCTGCTCGATTTTTAGGGGTTACGCCGTTGGCGGGGGAGGGTAATATATTTTCAGATTAATCGCGTACGACCTTATGACCAAATATAAACCATTTTATAGGAGTTTAAAAGCACAAACAAAAATTCAAAAATTCCGAAAGTTTTGGGCTTTTTGGTCAAACATGTATCAAAATCGTTCAAAAAGGGTCAAGCTCCACAATTTGTTATTAACAGGTATGGCGAAAAATTACCCTTAATGCCCCCCGCCCCCGTTAAACGACAAGAACCAAATAAACTACTGAGGAATCATGGGTGGAACACCTTTTTCTGCAGCTGGACTTTGACTTGCTCGTTTTTAGCCAAAATGAATTGAAAAATTGAAGCGGCAGATTAGGGTTTCTATTAATTATTTGATGATTTTATCCGGCCCGCCTAGGAATTTGGGAGGAACACATTTTTCCTGGAGGTGGCTGGCTAGCGGCCCGATTTTTTGGGTACTGGACTGTTAGCGGGGGGTCTCCTCATTAATCCAGTAAGGGCCCATAGCGAAATAGTCCGTTTTTATAGCATTTTACAATATTTTTAGATCTAAAAAAACAAAGAAATGAAAAATGTTTAGACTTTCCCCCAAAAAGTATGTAAGTAAAACGTATTAAAACGTTAGTGACGCGACAATTTTTCCTAGTAATCCCGCACGACCGTATGACAAGATACATACCATTTTTATCACATTTTCCACATTTTTTAGATGGGAAAAGCGCTGGAAAATAGCATGTTTTTCGTACTTTTCTGTTCTACAATGTATGTAAATTTACCAAGACGTCCAATTTTTCTATTTTAAAAATTTTTTATGATCTTGTTTATAGCCACAGAGCAATCAAAAACTACTAAAAACGCTAAGTAGATCAGCTTCCGGGAAGAAAAAATAAAAAGTACATTTACGAGGAGCGGTTTTTAGGCGAACTTTGATTTGCTATGTGACAAAGCTCATTCCATAGAGGTTCAAATTCCGGACAAGTCACATCTTCCAAAAACTGCTGAGCAACAACGGTCTTCGAGAATAAGTTTCTCAAGGTTGAATTATGTTAAGTGGGGGCCAAAAGGCTCAAAATGGGCCCATTCAGAGCGAATTTTCTCGAAAACCGCCGTCGGGCAGCAGGTTTTGAAAGCTAGAGCTTGCTCAAAATTTGAAGCTCTATCGAATCGGCTATGTCACATTGCAAATCTCCAAGATCACCTCAAAACCGTTCGTTGTTAGCCCAACGTCGGAACGGTTCAACCAGGAAAATGCTTCAAAATTGATCGCAATATGGGCGAGAAATAATTCAGCAATTCTTGCTGGCACCTCCTCTCTGCTTGTGTACGTTTTAAGGAGACGTACAATGCATTCTCATGGATTTTTTTGGCGATCTATAACGCGTCGTACTGCATTGCGTAATCGTTGTTACGGTTAAGCAATTACAACCATCCTTCAGGACGGTCAAACTGGCCTCTGCGTTGCGTGTCGCGGCGCGGAATAAACTTTAAAACTTATATTTTGTTTTCAAGTTAAATTTATGCCCCAATATCATCAAATTAATAGTATTCTATCGGATTTGAGGCTTGCTTTCTAAAAAAACCAACGTTTTTGTGACAGTGTAAAGCTCTCATGATTTTTGAAAGAAATGTTTCAAAAATATCCAGAAGGCAGGTGGCAAAAAATTCGTAATTCATAACGTCGTAACCGATAGATAGAAAGCCAGTTTCTGGGTGTTGTCTGATTTTTAAGGCGACGCACAAGGCATGATGATAAAACAACGCTACACCAACGCGTTCAATAATCAATAAGCACCTTAATTAACTAACTGTAACTAAAAACTGTCAAATAAGAGCACTATCAAATCGTCGGCTGGTTTCGAATTATTAGCGAAAAATGAAACGTTTCATAAAAATTTCTGCCTAAAACATTGTTTTTCCTATCAGTCGGTGCAGACAATCTGGAAGTAGAATTCAAATTTTTAGGGTTTTAAAAATTTAGAATTTTTTAAACGGCCATTAGAATTACATTTTCCAGAGTGTTTTTGGCATAATTAAGATTTTAGCAGCGGTCATTCCGGCAATTCAGGGATGCTAAGTTTTCCTAAGGTTTTTTGTCGGCATTACTGTAGCAGGATGCGCCTTTTAAAGGAGCTGGCAAGGCATGGCGATTTATATTAGGCAATGGACTCCTGATGGATTTTGCCGCGCTGCGGTACGCAATGCGCCAGCCAGCCTTTTCATTGCATAATGGAAAACAGAGGTTTTGCAAATGCCATTTTTTTACTAAAAGAAGTACAGGGTGAGGCATATATATGGCAACACCCCCAGACCATACTAATTTGTCTGCTATCGGAAAACTAATTATTATTTCGGGGGTTTGGGGGTTTCCCATACAAGAACTTGTGTTTCTTTATGCAGGAGACAAATGAAAACGGTTGCAAATTTTTTAATTTTTGATTTATAGTAGCGGGAAGTTTAGCGATTTTGTCGAAAAAGCGGTGTGTTGGCACGCTGCGCATAGAACCCCGGATATTGGTAGCTCTGCTCCAGGGTTTGGTATATAAGTTTACTTCGATCTTATTTATTTTTGCCAAAAGTCTTTTAGTTGGAAACTGTCGAGGGAATTTTGCTATATTCAAAAAACGCGCGCTTACCCACCCCTCACCACGTTTATGTTGACCAATAAAAATTAATTATCAAATGCCTGCCAACTGCATTGTCTTATTTAAGCATTTTTTTACATTTCGGGCATGTGATTGAACCAATTCCGTTTGCTGAAACCAAGCAATTCAACGATTAAAGATAAAAAAAGGCAATTTTACTTTTTTTACTATGATTTTTGGGACCAGCCGAGAACAATTCTAAAATTTCTGCCTACTTAAAGGAAATTAATTCCTTTAAATACCTTTATCTGTCAATACTAGGTAGTACACATATTTTTAGGAATCATTCGTGCCCAAAACGACGTTTCTGAACCATGCTGAAATTGGCTTCCAAGGGGTTGCGTGCCAGCACCACCCTTACGACACCCAGTTTTTGCTTCAGAACAAAAGTTTTTAGGGTTGCTGCGTTCTAATATTTTAAGGGTGGTTACAGAACACTGGTGGCTATATTTCAGCAAATTATTGAAGC